TATCCTGCATCTTTTATTTTGCTCTTTATTTATCATTTGTGTTTCTCCTATAAGGAAACATGGGCAAAATCCAAATCTTTCGTTCTGACTTATGTCGCTTAACATTATGGTCTCAAGGTGCATCCATTGTCCTAAAAATAACTTCAATTTATCTTTCTTCTAGCCTTCTCTCGGACAGGAGATTTCTTTCCCCCCATAAATAGATCCTGCTCTTTAGAAGAATTCCCCTTCTTTATGCCAGGCTAGTACTCCAAAATGTGTAAATACCACATTTTCTTTTCCCATTCATTTGTTGGATATATAGGTTGCGTCCAAGATATAACTGTTGCAAATTGTGCTACCATAAGTACAGGTATGCATGTGGCACTGTAATATATGTCTCTAATTCTTTGGGGGAGGATATCTAGAATGAGAATAGATGAGCCAAACAGAATTTCTAATTTCAGTTGTTTAAATAATCTCCACACTGATTTCCATTGTTGTGCCACCAACAATGTAGAAGGGCCCCTTTCTCCCCTCGGCCTTGCCAGCACTTATTATTTAATTTCTTCAGGATAGCCGTTCTTTCTGGGGTAAAATGGAATCTCAGTATGATTCTATTTTGCATTGATGGCAGGTAATGTAGAGCATTTCTTCATATATTTGCCAGCAATTTGTACTTCTGTAAAGTGTCTACTCATTTCACTTGTCCATTTTTGATTCCTAAATCTGGATATTAGTTTCCTAATGTTGTTGTTAAAAGTTACTCCAACCTCAGTGGCTTGAAACACAAATTTATTATCCTACACTATGAAAGTCAGGAGTCCAAAATGATCCATTCTCATATGGTTAAACCTGAGGTGTTGGTGAGACTTTTCCTTTTAAAGAATTCCACAGAGTGAGTTCCTTGTCTCTTTCAGCTTTTAAAGACTGCTGATCTCAGTTCAACCTCTGCTTCCCTCACCACTTGTTCTTCCCCTTTACCTACTTTGATCCCCCTGCTCCCCTCCTAGAAAGACCCTTGTAGTTAAATTAGACCCAGAGATAACCCTGAGTAATCACTCTGCCTCAAAATTCTTCTTTATATATGTAAAGGTTCTTTTATTATGTTAGTCAATATCCTCCCAGAGTCCAGGGATTAGAAAGTAGATATTTTGGAGGAAGGTATATCCAATTCACCAGTAAATCTTCTTGCTCCTGAATATTTGTACCTGTCTCACATGAAAAATGCAGTCATTCTATCCTGAGGTACTCCGAAGTGTGAGCCCAAGACAGTGACAATTAATTCCAAAGTCTTATCTAAGTATCCTCAGCTCAAAGGCCCCAACTGTCCTGACCTAAACTAGATAATGGCTGGTGAAACAGCTCATTGGTCTAAAGCACTTGCTTAAGTAAGCTTGGGCAAAGCACAGGGACTACAGTTTGATCCCTGGCACCACATACCACCCCAGCCCCACCCCCAGGGTAAGCTGAGCTGGCCCCAAAAAACAAAAAAACAAAAAACAAAACAAAACATAAAAGCTAGATAGTGAAACTCTAGTTATAATCCATTCTGGGACAAAATTTCTTTTAGGTGAAGACTTGTGAAGCTATAAAACAGATTATTTACTCCCAAATAGAATGATAGGATGGCCATTCCATTGCCATCAGTGTGAAAAACAGTTGTAGACCTTCTTAGAGGAGAGAAAATGAATCTCTAGTCCAAACAATTTTGAAACACAGAGTGGCAAATTCCATTAGGTTTCAAGTCCTGGAAATAATTCTCTATGGCTCAAGACATCACCCTTTAGGCCCAGAGCATCACTGAGTTTTCCTTACCTCTCCCCAAAAGGCAACATGTTTGCACTTAAATTGTTTTATTAATTGATTTCCTGCTTATAGAATTTTGTGATTTCGGGGCTGGGGAGATAGCTCAGTAGAATAAGTGATTGCCTGGCAAGCACAAGGTCCTTAGTTCTCAGTACCACCAAAAAAAAAAAAAAAAAAAGAATTTTTTTGATTCCAAACATCCTCTTTGTCTGTTTCAAGTCATGCTAGCAGTGTTTTTGCTGATATGCCATGCTCAAAATCTTGTAGTCCTGCCTTCTATGTCCCAGGTGGTTTCTCCATCAGCTAGAAGTGTCCTTTTCTGGTCTTTCCTAGATATCCCCAGCTCCATTTTGGACTCTTAATGAGGTAGCTGAGGGGACTCATGGAGCACACATCTAATCTATACAAAGAGACTTCTATGTTTCTGAATGTTGTGATTTTATTAATTAATTTATATCTATTTATTTATGCTGGTGATCAGATCCAAGGCCTCATGCATGCTGGGCGAATGCTCTGTCACAGAACCACAGCACCCCCACCCCCAGCTCCTGCTCTCTGTGTTCCTTCCAAAGTCCCAAGAACAAGTTATCTCACCCTCCCCTTGATTTCTCTCCAGAATGTGCTTTCTTAACTGAAAATACCCTAATACTAGCATCATGTGCAGTTGGGACAGACAAAATTTTCTAAATTGTAGATATATTTGTAGTGTTTTAGTCAAATGTAGTTATTATTTTTGATGCTGAATTTCTTTAATCTTAAATCAATCCTTTCCTATTGTTTATTGCACTGTTTAGTTGCAATCTGTGATAATTTCATTTTTGATAGAATAAAATGCCCCAGGCTCATCTTGTACACTAATTCTCTTAAATCTGGGAAGAGCCATTTCTGAAAGATGTTCTGGCTCATTTTAGTGAGAAATATTTCTTAGCTCTTAGTCTAGATGCTAGGAGTACCCACTGACATAATTTTTATGGCTTTTCAGAGCTGGATAATATGTCATCTTTTACATGGGAGAAAAAAAATTCTTCCTAATAGTCTTACTTTTCGGTTTGGTAATATTGAAAATTTTTGATGTGGTTTCTGATAATGCTTATTTGCTTCATCATATGATATATATATATATATATA